TGTGAAATTTGTTTTCAGGAATCTCATCGCTCCTTTAGTTATTTGAAAGAACTGATTGGTTATCCTTTTTTCCCATTTTTTTATGTGGCAGTGATGTTTTATTGCTTGAACGATTGGTGAAATTGGGAAACTTCTTGAAAGCAAGATTGATGCTGTGGGGGGTCTAAATTTTCCCAATTTTATGGTATTGTAGAATCTTGGAGTACCAGGTGTTAAGATGGTCCCATCTCCTTTTATTATAAATATAAGGAGCCCTTTGGTAATAAGGGGTGCTCTGGTGATAGGATGAGATGGAATTTGGAAAAGACAGAAGATAGGAAATCTTTGGGAAAGAATTGGGTTTGGATTGGGAGATATTTAACTCCCTCTGTGTGGTGGATGATATTGTCACTGATGTGTCCCACTTTTGTTGTTTATGCAGCTTGGCTCCATTTGTAATGCTCTCTCTCAGTTGGAGACCAGCTCTTTCTTCCAGGAAGCCTTTCCTGAAGCTCCTGTAGGTGGGTCAGGATGTGTGCTCTTCTTTGAGCTGGTGAGACCCTTGTGGGTCCCACTCTGAAGGTGGGACCAGGATGACCCTTTGTCCTAGCTGCATGGGTGCCCTATTTTCAGCTGGGAGGAGTGATTGGAGGCCAGCATCCTAGCAGAGCACTGGGCTAGTGGGTGAAGGCTGGCTTCTCTAGGGTGGTCATGGTTTCTCCTGTCTTACGTCTCCTGGGGCTTGGAGTTGGAAGGAGGGAAGCTTGGAGCCTGTTAAAATGTGGGCTCTGGAGTCAGGTGGACCCAAGGGTCCAGTCCCAGCCATGCCACTAACTCTGTGATTTGGTTCCTCTTCTGTAAATGGAGGTGGTGGAGGTTACTCCAGGCCATGTGAGCCTGAAAGCAGAGTGTAAGGTAAGAGCCCTGTAGGCTCCCTGCCACTCAGCAGGCACTCAGCACTCAGAAGCTCTTTGAGCCCTTCTCATTCCCCTGATGCAGGGTTCATATGGTTGAGGAGGTTCAGGGTGTGCCCCTGAGAAGCTCTTGTTCCTGCGGGAGATGCAGGCTTGTAAACAAATCATTGTGATGCACCATCGGAAGTGCCTTAATGGAAGCTTTGTGAGTGCTTTGACTGCTGTAAGGAGGGAGCCTCCAGCTGCTGCTGCTGCTGCTGTATGTATGTGTGTGGGTGGGGGGCGGCAGGGCATAATGGGGGAAGCTGGGGGGCCACCTCAGCTGCCTGGTGGGGGTGCAGGAGCAAAGAAACTGCAAGCTGTGGGCCATTGGAGGGCTTTCTACATTCTGTCCCCCTAGACTGCCCTTTGACAACTACTCTGCCCAGACACCCTGGGCCACCTCTAAGCAGTCCCATGGCCCTCTGGGTGTCCACTTGCTTGTGGTGTCCCCACAGACTGTACCTTCCTCTGTCCTAGAGTAAGGGGTATAGTGATAATTGGTTATCTATATGCCACCCCTCAATTTGGAGCAGCTGAAGGCCTGTACCTCACATGCTCTTTTTGGTACCTTGATTGCCTGGCCCAAAGCCTGTGGCTCTGTAGGGTACACAATTAGTTTCATCTGGGGTGAACCTTGGTCAGAATCCTTTTCCCCATTTTATGAGTAGGGCTTCTGTAGCAGCTTGTGGTCTGAACTGGTGTGTTTCTTTGATGGGCATCATCAACAGGAATGAGAGAATTGAAAGCATTTTTTAAAAAGCTGGCTGGGTGCCTACCTGCCAATTGGTCCTGAGGGTAGGGCTTTGGTATATAGGTTCTGTTGTTCTCTTCATTCCCACCTTGCAAGGTCCCCTTATTGTAGCTGTACGTCTGGAGTCACCACAATACATAGCCTTACTATTGCCCATGGCTTTGTAGGCTGTGGACCACGAAGCCTAGGGTAGCCCAGGAGACTGTGGGTGCTGTAAGCTCCACACAGTGCTCCTTCTCCTGCTGGGCTCCCTGCCTACCTGTGCCTTTCGCTCTGCTTTGTTTAGCGCCTCCATTTCCCAGAGTCTTCGCATGAGAAAATAGGGCAGGGACAGGCAAACACACCAAGAACCTGATCCTACCAATTCTATAAATGACCCTTCCGCCCTCTCTTCCACCCAGTTCTTCTATGAACCCCCCAGAAAATATTTACATCTTGAACTAATTTGCCATTTTCCAAAGAGGAGAAAGGTGCTGTGCATTACTGCCTGTGTTAGTCCACTTAGGCTGCTGTAGCAAAATACCATAAACTCTGTGGCTTATAAAGAGCAAATTTCAGCTGGGTGTGGTGGCTCATGCCTGTAATCCTAGCACTCTGGGAGGCCAAGGTGGGCGGATTGATCGTTTCATCTCAGGAGTTGAGACCAGCCTGAGCAAGAGTGAGACCCAATCTCTACTAAAAAAAAAATAGAAAGAAATTAGCTGGACAGCTAAAGAGAGAGAGAGAGAGAGAGAGAGAATAAATACATACATAAATAAATAAGCAAGCAAGCTGGGCATGGTGGCACATGCCTGTAGTCCCAGCTACTCGGGAGGCTGAAGCAGGAGGATCTCTTGAGCCCAGGAGTTTGAGGTTGCCGTGAGCTAGGCTGATGCCACAGCACTGTAGCCTGGGCAGCACTGGGCAACAGAGTCAGACTCTGTCTCAAAAAAAAAAAAAAAGAAGAGCAAATTTCTTCCTCCCTCCCTTGCTTCCTTTTCTCCCTAAGGAAGTGCAGAGGTGGGGGGAGGCAGGAGAAGCCTGCAGACCCCAGGAAGGATCTCCAGCATTGCACTTGGGAGGGTCTTCTGTTCACCTTTGAGCCACTCAAGACCAATGGAGGAACCCCAGAAAGAGAATGGGGTCTGTTTAATGCAGTTTGTTTCTTTGTTTATTTATTTTGAGACAGAGTCTCACTCTGTTGCCCAGGCTAGAGTGGGTGCTGTGGCATCAGCCTAGCTCACAGGAACCTGAAACTCCTGGGCTCAAGCGATCCTCCTGCCTCAGCCTCCTTAGTAGCTGGGACTGCAGGCATGAACCACCATGCCTGGCTAATTCTTTCTATATATATTAGTTGGGCAATTAATTTCTTTCTATTTACAGTAGAGATGGGATCTTGCTCTTGCTCAGGCTGGTTTCGAACTCCTGACCTTGAGCAGTCCTCCCACCTCGGCCTCCCAGAGTGCTAGGATTATAGGCGTGAGCTACCCCGCCAGGCCAATTCACTTCTAATTGTAGCAGTTCCTGTATTTAACGTTTTTGTTACTGCAGAGTAACTTTATTTTTCTTTTCTACCAATTATTTATATCTTCAGTCTGTTTGTCCTTTAGCTCTAAGCCAGACTTCCATGTTTGTGCTCCTGGTCCTAGCCTAATAGATGGTGTCTGCCTGCTTTAGAGGCACCTGCTAGTCACTGAGCTTCTCCTAGGCTGTTTCTCCCACTGTAAATGGACACAGTAAGTGCTTCGTAGGATGCTGAGAGAGCTGAGAATGGAGCTGGGAGAGACTTAAACTAAAATTGCTCTTCAGGCCGGGCGGTGGCTTACGCCTGTAATCCTAGCTCTCTGAGAGGCCGAGGCGGGTGGATTGTTCAAGGTCAGGAGTTCGAAACCAGCTTGAGCAAGAGCGAGACCCCATCTCTACTATAAATAGAAAGAAATTAATTGGCCAACTAATATATATAGAAAAAATTAGCCGGGCATGGTGGCCCATGCCTGTAGTCCCAGCTACTCGGGAGGCTGAGGCAGTAGAATTGCTTGAGCCCAGGAGTTTGAGGTTGCTGTGAGCTAGGCTGACGCCACAGCACTCACTCTAGCCTGGGCAATAAAGTGAGACTCTGTCTCAAAAAAATAATAAAAACAAAAACAAATTGCTCTTCAGATGTGCAGGATTATGGTCTTCGGAGGGTATGTTTATCCTATTTGATTGGCATAGTTCGGAGGTTATTATCCATGTTGGAGTCTCAAAACACTCAGGAGAGGCTGGGCGCGGTGGCTCACGCCTGTAATCCTAGCTCTTGGGAGGCCGAGGCGGGCGGATTGCTCAAGGTCAGGAGTTCAAAACCAGCCTGAGCAAGAGCGAGACCCCGTCTCTACTATAAATAGAAACAAATTAATTGGCCAACTGATATATATATATAAAAAAAAATTAGCCGGCATGGTGGCGCATGCTATATCCCAGCTACTCGGGAGGCTGAGGCAGAAGGATCGCTCGAGCCCAGGAGTTTGAGGTTGCTGTGAGCTAGGCTGACACCACGGCACTCACTCTAGCCTGGACAACAAAGCGAGACTCTGTCTCAAAAAAAAACTCAGGAGAGCAAAACAGTCTGAACTGGTGATTAAAAACCACCAGGCCCACCTTTTTAATTTTACTTATAATATGAAGTTATGAAACCAGGAAAGAAGTTTTTTTGTTTTGTTTTGTTTTTGAGACAGAATTTCACTTTGTTGCCCAGGCTAGAGTGCCATGGCGTTAGCCTGGCTCACACCAACCTCAAACTTCTAGGCTCAAGCAATCCTTCTGCCTCAGCCTCCTGAGTAGCTAGGACTACAAGTGTGCACCACCATGCCTGGCTATTTTTTTCTATATATTTTTAGTTGGCCGATTAATTTCTTTTCTATTTTTAGTAGCAACGGGGTCTTGCTCTTGCTCAGGTTGGATTCGAACTCCTGACCTTGAGCAATCCACCAGCCTCTGCCTCTCAGAGTGCTAAGATTGCAGGCATGAGCCACCGCGCCTGGCCTGGCAGGACTGCCTCTGTTCCCGGTATTACCATGGCTCTACTTCCATGGGCTGCTGTTGATATCCAGATCTACTTAATATTGCCATTTGTGTTTGCAGGCTCAATGCCAGACCAGGGGTTGGAGGTGTCCGCTCTCGAGTTGGGATCCAGCAGGGCTTTCTCAGCCAGCCAACACGCACAGCCACCTTCCAGCAGAGATTTGATGTGCGGCAGAAAATTGGCCTCTCGGATGCCCGGCTCAAGCTAGGAGTCAAGGATGCCCGGGAGAAGCTTTTGCAGAAAGATGCTCGGTTTCGGATCAAAGGAAAAGTGCAGGATGCCAGAGAGATGTTGAATTCCCGCAAGCAGCAGACCACTGTGCCCCAGAAGCCCCGCCAGGTAGCTGATGCCCGAGAGAAGATCAGCTTGAAGAGGAGTTCTCCTGCTGCCTTCATGAACCCACCCATTGGGACAGTGACTCCTGCTCTGAAGCTCACCAAAACCATCCAGGTAGGTTGTGGCTTTTGTCATAATTTCCCAGAAAGCTAGGAACAAAGGTAGACTTAGGCAGGGGGCCAGGACTGTTTGGACAAAAATACGATTCTTCTGAGTGTTGGTGTAGCACTTGTTGCTTACAAAGGCTTTTAGTACGTTATAGTCAAGTTATCATAAGAGGGTGGCAAAGTTTATTTCACTTTTATTTTTATTTTATTTTTTTAAAATAAACAGAGTCTTACTCTGTTGCCCGGGCTAGAGTGCCATGGCGTCAGCCTAGCTCAGCAACCTCAAACTCCTGGGCTTAAGCGATCCTTCTGCCTCAGTGTCCTGAGTAGCTGGGATTCCAGGCATGCACTACCATGCCCAGGTAATTTTTTATATATATATTTTTAGTTGATCAATTAATTTCATTCTATTTTTAGTAGAGACAGGGTCTCACTCTTGTTCAGGCTGGTCTCGAACTCCTGAGCTCAAATGATCCGCCCACCTCGGCCTCCCAGAGTACTAGGATTACAGGCATGAGCCACTGCTTCCGGCCTCCACTTTTTTTTTTTTTGAGACAGAATCTTACTCTGTTGCCCGGGCTAGAGTGCCATGGCGTCAGCCTAGCTCATAGCAACCTCAAACTCCTGGGCTCAAGCAATCCTCCTGCCTCAGCCTCCTAAGTAGCTGGGACTACAGGCATGTGCCACCATGCCTAGCTGATTTTTTTCTATATATATTAGTTGGCCGATTAATTTCTTTTTATTTATAGTAGAGACGGGGTCTCTCTCTTGCTCAGGCTGGTCTCGAACTCCTGACCTCAAGCAATCTACCTGCCTCGGCCTCCCAGATTGCTAGGATTACAGGCGTGAGCCACCGCACTCGGCCCCGGCCTTTGCTTTTATTTTAAAAAGAGGGAGGTCTGTGGAAATTAAGTGACTTTCCGAAATGAGACAGTGGTGGAAGAGAGGGGAAAGGACAAACATTAATTGAGCACATGCTGTGTGGCAGGCACTTATGTTATATCCTCACTTCATCTCTGGGATTGTTACCTCAGTTTTTTAAAAGAAGAATCTGAGAGTTGCGAAACACTGTGTCCAGCATTATACAGCCGGGCAGTGGGAAGACCAGGGTAGGGGCCCAGTCAGGTCTGGCTCCTAGTCCGTTGCCCTGGCTGCCCTCCACAGCTACCACCCCAGAGGGAAAGGAAACTCATTTAACCTGGACCGCAGCGTGGGTAATGAGAATAGCAGCAGCAGTGGTGAACATGTGTTGAGCCAGGTTCATTAAACCCTGTGCGTGCATTGTCAGGTGGTCTGTGGGGTGATTTTTCTTCCTGTCACATCTTGCTGTGGGGGGTTAGGCACTCCGTAGTGCCTTTTACCAAAGACCATGCCCACCACATGTATCCAGTTCTGTGACCCCTCCTCAGAGAATGTGTGTAGACCTGTGGGGTGAATTATGACCACTGAGTATTTCTAGGTTCCACAGCAGAAGGCCATGGTACCACTTCATGCCCATCCTGCTGGAATGAGGATCAATGTTGTCAATAACCACCAGGCCAAACAGGTAGAGTGAGTGTGTGTGTGCGCGCGCGCGCGAGTGTGTGTACATACATGAACGCATATGCATGCACATGTTTTAATGAGGCCTGCTTCTGTGGTTTGACCGAGGCCTGGCCCTAGGTTCCTCGTTTAAAGTATTAGAAGAGAGGTTAGATTTGACTTTGTAATTTAGAAGTTTTAAGAAGATACTTCTTTTTTTTTTTTTTTTTTTTTGAGACAGAGTCTCACTCTGTTGCCTGGGCTATAATGCTGTGGCATCAGCCTAGCTCATAGCAACCTCAAACTCCTGGGCTCAAGCTATCCTCCTACCTCAGCCACAAGCCACCGTGCCCAGCTAATTTTTTTTCTATTTTTATTTGTTTGGCTAATTTCTTTCTATTTATAGTAGAGACGAGGTCTCGCTCTTGCTCAGGCTGGTCTTGAACTCCTGAGCTCAAACGATCCTCCCACCTCGGCCTCCCAGAGTGCTAGGATTACAGGCGTGAGCCACCACACTTGACCAAGAAGATACTTCTTAATGGGCGAGGGAAGGCATGAGAAGCAGAGAGGCAAATTAAATTACTAATTTTTTATTTTATTATAAAAGTGTTTAATACAGAAAATTTGCAAAATATCACTCAAGCTCCTACTCTCCAAACCCAACCATTTTTGAAATTTTGCCGTAGTTCCTTAAGTGTCATTATTTTTTACTTAACGGTAGTTGTGGTTATGGTTATATTCTTATCCAATTTTATGTCATTATTCTTTCACTTTGCAACTCAAGCATTTTTCTATGATGTTTTACATTTACTGTAAATATTTTTAGTAGCCGCATAATCCATTGAGTTCACATTCCAGTTTATTTAAACCATTTTCCTGTCATTTTCATGGTAGAGATTCTTCTGCTATGAATGTCTTTGCAGATAAAACTCTTTCCAGGGTTTGGATTTACTTTTGTAGGCCAGATTATTCAGGATGGACTTTCTAAGCCAAAGGATATAAACAGACATTTTAGAGACCTTTGCTAGGTATTACCCACTTATATAAAAAACACTTCTGATGTACCCGGAAGTTGCAGCACTTTTGTTGGGCCCTTGTAAGCAGGAGTCAGCCCATCAGCACTTGAGCCCAGCCTCAGGCCAGTCTCCTAGGCACCTTCCTTCACTCCGTTACCCACTTTCTCCTGGGTCCCTCGCTCACTCCAGCTGTCATCTCCCTGCCGTGTTTGTTCCAGATAACTATTGAGGGCCTACATGCTACATTAACTAATATTTCTTTATTCTCAGAATTTATATGATCTGGATGAAGATGATGATGCTGTAGCTCCTATTTCCACAAAACAGATGAAGTTTGCAGCGTCAGGCAGCTTTCTCCATCAGGTGGTATGGCATTTTATGTTTTCATTACATTCACTGTGTGTGTCTGATCAGGTGGATGGGAGAGGTTATGGAGAATAGGCCTTTTTTTTTTTTTGAGACAGAGTCTCACTCTGTTGCCTGGGCTAGAGTGCTGTGGCATCAGCCCAGCTCACAGCAACCTCAAACTCCTGGGCTCAAGCGATCCTCCTGCCTTGGCCTCCTGAGTAGCTGGGATTATAGGCACACGCCACTGTGCCTGGCTAATTTTTTTCCTCTATTTTTAGTTGTTTGGCTAATTTATTTCTACTTATAGTAGAGACGGGGTCTTGCTCTTGCTCAGGCTGGTCTCGAACTCCTGAGCTCACCACACCCAGCCGAGAATAGGGCCTTTCAGTGCAGAAATATTTCTTTACTTGGATCATCAGATTTTTACAGCTGGAACTAGTCCAATCCTTTAGTTTTATAAGTACTTAGACCAGGATGCCCTGTGATTTGCTCACTGTCCCATAGTGAGTGGAATGCAGAGCTGTAGCTCCCAGTTGGCCTGTTTAAGACATTTTAGGGGCCCAGTACGGTGGCTCACGCCTGTAATCCTAGCACTCTGGGAGGCCGAGGTGGGAGAATCGCTCAAGGTCAAGAGCTTGAAACCAGCCTGAGCAAGAGCAAGACCCTGTCTCTACTAAAAAAAATAGAAAGAAATTAATTGGACAGCTAAAAATATATAGAAAAAAAAATAGCTGAGTATGGTGGTGCGTGCCTGTAGTCCCAGCTACTCGGGAGGCTGAGGCAGTAGGATCACTTGAACCCAGGAGTTTGAGGTTGCTGTGAGCTAGGCTGATGCCATGGCACTCTAGCCCAGGCAACAGAGTGAGACTCTTACTTTAAAAAAAAAAACAAAACAAAAAAAACACTTAAGGGAAAATTCGAGTGATCCCACAGGAGGGAATCCCATTTTCTTTCCTTTGTGGTAGGACCTTATGCATGCTTACTGACCCTCTGTGGTCAACAGCTCTGGCCCTACTCTTGGATTCTGTATTCCCTTGGTTGGTGTTAGCAAGAATAAACCACACCTGACCTGTGGGCTCTACCAGCTGTTGCCTGCATGTAGAGAAAGTTGCTAGGGTTCAGATGCCATGCAGAAAAGGAAAGAAAATAGTATGGAGCAGTGTCAGGGAGGTCTGTGCTGTTTGGCTTAGAGGATACAGCCAAGTGACAGGCCTGTGGGCTACCCAGCCAAGTCCCAGGGGTGGGGACCTCCTCTGTTTTGCCTTCAGAGGCCCAAAAACTCAATTTTTAGTTAACCGTGAGTGCATGATCAGTACCCTTGTTAGTTAATCAGTTACTCATCCCACCCTGTGCAATAGGTACTGATATTACCCTACTTTTATGGGTGAAGCAACAACACAGAGAGGTTAAATAATCTGGCTCACCACCACCCAGTGGTTGTTGTAGTAGGTCTAGGAATTGAGCCTAAGCAGTGTGGCTCTTGAGGCCACGTGTGTAACCCCTGTGATATCCTGGCTCTGGAGACTCAGTAGGTGCTTGAGGAGTGTGGAATCCAGCATGGGGAGGATGCTTCACCCATACTTGGAGAAGCTGGTGAGCTTCCTGCACCATGCTCTGATCTACCTCTCTGGCTGCTACATTACTTCTCCTGCCTGGGTCAGTGTCTATAAATACTGCCTACAATTGGCAAGACCGCCTTCTGCTTTGCACATCCTTATCCTCAGACATGTTAACACAGTGGAGTTTATATTTCCAAGGGAGCACATCCTGGGAGGTAGGGCTGTGGCTGTTTTTGATGATCTGCAGATGCTATCTCTGCCAGCAGATCCCTGGACGGTCTGGGAGCCGGATTATTTAACCTCTCTGTGTTGTTGCTTCACCCATAAAACTAGGGTAATATTAGTGCCTATTGTGCAGGGTGGCATGAGTAACTAACTGAGTAACTAACCAGGGTAGTGACCATGCACTCAAGGTTGACTAAAAATGAGTTTTTGGGCCTCTGAAGGCAAAACAGAGGAGGTCCCCACCACTGGGACTTGGCTGGGTAGCCCATGGGCCTGTCACTTGGCTGTATCCTCTAAGCCAAACAGCACAGCCAGATCTGTGTATGGTGCCTCTGCATGGCCAGAAGAGGGACCAAAAAGCTGGGAGTTTGGGGCCTTCTTAAAAATGGATCTCTGTGCTCAGCCAGCCGGAGGCTAGTAGTGATCAGCCCTTTTTGATAGAAGCATATCTAGGAATGAACTTGACCTCAAAACCTTTGACTTTCTGACCAACCTCAAGTTGTAGGATTTTTAGGAAGTTGAATGCTGTGGGTGAGCCTGTGGCTCCTGGGTGAGTTTTCAGGTCAGGGATGTATGGAATCTACCTGTCAGGAGCTTCCAGCACTGGAAAGTGGCTTCAGTGAGCACATGCTTGGGCTGTTTTTCTCTCCTCCCAGCACCCCTTGTGGGATGTCCCTGGCGGCTGGCAATCTTTTTGGCTCCAGACTTTTAATGGAATTGGAGAGCTAGGAGATATCGAGGATTCGTGCTCTCAGCTTGTGGTCAGCCCCTTGGGGCTGCTTCAGAAGAGTCCAGGTCTTTGGTTTCTCAGATTCCTTTCTGTTTTTGTCCAGGCTGGGCTGAGCAGTTCCAAGCTTTCTGTGTCCAAGGCCCTCCCTCTCACCAAAGTGGTTCAGAATGATGCATACACAGCTCCTACTCTCCCCTCCTCCGTTCGAACAAAAGCCTTGACCAACATGTCCCGGACACTGGTGAACAAGGAGGAAACCCCCAAAGAGCTGCCACCTGCTGAGGTGAGGTAAAGGTGACCACACCACTTAAGAGTCAGCCTGTGCTGGGTGGGTAATGTGCTGTAGGTACCCGGTTGAGTCCTCACAACATCCTGTGAGGTTGGCATTGCCACCCCCATTTTATAAATGAGCAAACCAAGACCTAGGGTCATCTGCCCTCAAAGAGCTTGCAGGCTCGTGGAGACAGCAGACCTGCAGAGAGATTGCTATGTCTAGTGATAGGTAGAGCTTCTCCCTGGGGAGAGCTGCTGGGAGCTCTGGGGCAAGAACACCTCATTCCACTTCGAAGCCTGGGAAGCTTTAAGTCTCAAGAAAGTGCCATTTGAGCTGAGTGAGTCTGGGAGCATGAGTACCATTCCAAACAGAGGCTTGGGGCCGAGGGGCCTGTATATTTGGGAAGTGGGGGAGAATCTGTGTCTTTAGCGTACAATAAGGGGGGCATGATGGGTGCTGAGGTCCAAGGGGCCCAGTTGTGATGACTATCCATGGAGCTGTCCTCTGGGTCTTCCTGATTGTGTGCCTGGGGTAAGTCCTGTCATGTGAGTGTGTGCCCACTGGCTTCTGGTAACGCTCTTGTCTTTGTGGCAGCCTGTCCTCAGCCCTTTGGAAGGCACCAAGATGACTGTGAATAATCTGCACCCTCGAGTCACTGAGGAAGACATCGTTGTAAGTACTGTGATGGGCCAGAAATTCACAACTCAAACTGCTTATGTGGCAAAGGTCCCTGAGACACTGCCCCCACGCCCTCCACAGTTGATGACTTGCCAGGACTCAGCATGTTGTCATACCAGGGCTCAGATTTATCAGAGCTAAAGGCTACACATGGCTCATGAGGCAAAGTCTGGGGAAACCAGGCACAAGCTTCCCGAGTCCTCTCTAGTAGAGTCACACAGGATGCACTTTATTCCCCCAGCAACAAGCTGTAACAACACAAGTGAAATCAGGGGAGCTCATTAAAGACTTAGTTCCCTGGGGTTTTATTGGGGACTGGCCACTTAGGCATTCTCACCTGGCATGCACCAGAATTCTACACTCCTAGAAGGAAAGCAAGGGTTCAGCGTAAGCCATATTGTTTGCACAGTTTAGGTGCGGTGAGCCCATCTTTAACAGTGGGGTGGTGGGAGCCCTACGGAAGCACAAGTTCAGCAGCCAAAGGCCACCCTTGGAAGTAGGCCTTTCAATGGCTAGCAGTCAGGCCAGTTGTGTTCACTGTCTTCTGTGCAGCTTCTAAACCAGGGCCCGAATCTCAGGGTCAGGGGACATCTGTGCCGTGTGGGTCCTAAATGGAATCCTTTAGTCCCACTGTGCGGTATCCAGTAGTTCATATTTTCTCATGAGTCTTTGGGACTTCCTGCTTCCTTTGGGGTTTTTACATGATGATTCCAAAGTGAAAGGAGTGAGATAGATTGGTGATGTCTGCCTTCCTAGTCCATCTGTCCTACCTGTGGGAACCTAGTCCTGGTGACTAGGACAGAGGTGCAGCTAGGACTTCCTTTTCCACCTCATTTTCACTTGGGCACCAAAAGAGCCATTTGTTTAGAAATCCACACACCCTTTGAACTGTTAGATCACAAAATGAATGCAACTAGAAAATCCGGCCTCTCCCTGCAGCTGAGTCCTGGGTTCTATAACAGCCCACACTGGCCATCACATTTAAGTCTTAATTGTGAAACACACAAGCGCTGTGTGATTGGTGTTAGAATTAAGCAGGCTCACCAGCGTGTTCCTTCTGCTCCAGCAGGCCCAGTGCCATGGACTGCACACGTGAAAATGGAAATTGCAGCCTACTTTGTGTAATACCTGACAAGTTATAAAGAACTAAAGCTTTTTTCTGATTATCAAAGTAATAACAGCTACCATTTATTGAGCACTTACTATGTGCCAGACACTTTATGTGGAATATTTGAAAATGTGTAAAAGTGGAAACTAAACGCCCATCATGATCACCACTCAGAGAAAATAGCTAATAATAATCCTCACTTCTATTCTACCCAAATAGGTAATGTCCAGAGGACAACAGTAATAAAATTGGGATTACATGTAGTACTTAGGTCAGCCTTTCATATCACAGGTTCCACAACCAACTGTGGATTGAAAATACTCGAATAAAAAAAAATGCCAGATGTGGTCACTCATGCCTGTAATCCTAGCACTTTGGGAGGCCAGGGAAGGAGGATCACTTGACACAAAGAGTTTGAGACCAACCTGGGCAACATACTGAGACCTCAACTCTACCAAAAATAAATAATTTTAAAAGGTAAAGGAAAGATGCACACTCACAAACAACTGTAAAAAGTATTTTTTTAAGAAAAAATATTTAAGTAAAAAATAATAATTCAACAATAAATAATGCAAATTTAAAAACCAATACAGTATAACAACTATTTAAATAGCATTTACATCGTATTAGAATTTATTTAAAGTATACAGGAGGGGCCAGGCATGGTAGTTCATGCCTATAATCCCAGCACTTTGGAAAGCTAAGGAAGGAGAATCACTTGAAACCAGCCTGGGCAACATAGACCCCGTCTCTATAAAAAATTTTTAAAATGTAGCTGGATATGCATCTGTAATCCCAGCTACTCAGGAGGCTGAGGTGGTAGGATAGCTTCAGCCCATCAGTTCAAGGCTACAGTGAGCTATGATCATGCCACTGTACTTCAGCCTGGGCAGCAGAGCAAGACCTTTTCTCGCCCCCCCAGCCAAAAAAGTGTATGTGAAGGTGTGTGTAGATTTATACGTAAATACTATGCCATTTTATATTAGAGACTTGAGCATCCATGGATTTTGGTAACTGGGGGGGGGGGGCTCCGAGAATTAGATCATTGTGGGTACAAAAGGATGACTAGTTCCATACCTTGGTTTTGATATTTAACATTTTCCCCTTTATCATTAGGGGACCTTTCCATATCATTTCCGTATCATTCAGGGACCTTTCCATAAGCCTTCTCTTTGCCTTCCCTACAACCTTGTGAAAGGCAGTTGTAGGTGGGGAAATGGCTTGAGTGCTAATTGACCTCTGTTGTCTGTCTCCATATTACACTGCCTCAGTTTCCTTGTCTGTAAAATGAAGAGGGATTAAAGTTGATGTTAAAATGTAAGAGCACTGCCTTAAAAATGATCTCACTTGGCTGGGGCGCAGTGGCTCACGCCTGTAATCCTAGCACTCTGGGAGGCTGAGGCAGGCTGTATTCTCAGAGATCCCAGGGCATATTATTGAGAAACTGTCTGTCGAAACCTGCACATTCATTCTTTATGACAAGAGCCTCTGTTGAGCG